CCTAAAATTTGCCCAAAATTTCGGCTTGTCACGGTGAATTTCTGAGGTTGTCGAAACCAAAATTTTGACAGGCTTGTCACGCATCACGGGCCCTGTTGAATTGAACGAAATGCTACAGCAATATAGATGTGCATGTTGGTGCCGGTGGGATGAGTAACTTGAACATGCATCGAGACTCGAAAACATGCAGAGAGAACAAGGCCACCAACACGCAACCCCCACAAAAGAAAGAGAAGTCCTCAGCTTTTTTAACCAGAAAACAAAGGGGGTGTTGGGATAAAAAAAAAGACCTAGGGTCGATTTTTTTGGTAGTGAGCGCTGGGCTGAACCAACCACCCAACGTAATCAGGCACATGTCTATTTTAGGAAATATGATGTCACCGTTGTGACATTGTCTTCCTGTCCTCGGGCCTCTCGACGTTGAACATGCATTGCAGACCCAATGCATGGGCACCTGCACAAGGTAAATACAAATGAGGTGATATCAGAATGGTTTGACATGAAGATGTAAGTATGTTTTACATTGAAACCCTAACAGAAAGTGGGTTTACCAATTGACCACATCCCACTGGATCATATTGCCGGTGGTCAGCTCTGCTCGGGATCCACAAAAGCAATCCTCCAATTGACAACCTTATGGTTTCATTTTTTGCACTGACCTCATGTTTCCTTGCTGTAACGGTTGCCACACTAAGGAAAGTTATCAATGGTCCGATATTATTATTGTCTTATGTAAGCAGTCTTAGTTGTGTTTTTTGGCACATCCTGAGGCATTTAGCACATCTTGAGGCTTTCTAGTATCTATTATGTATAATTTATCCACCAGGAAGGCCGCCTATAATGTTTTTGGGCAAAAATTTTTGAGCTTCCAATTTTTTTTAAACGGCCTGATGGCCCAACCAACCAACCGGCCCCCGGTCCGGGATTATGATCCCGACACCCCCTTGCAGAAAACCATACAACAAAATACCCCTCAAGTCTCATGGCAGGGGAAAAGGAAGAGAGAACTGTGGTTGGGTGATGTGTAAAGCGCGAGGTTGCAAAACAGGCTGCCAGGTGCGTGCGCCGTGAGATTTGTCAAATGTTTTCGCGTTTTATGTAGAAAAAAAATTCTGAAAACATAAGCATGGGAAAAACATACTTGATTAGGAAGGTAGGGGTAGGGGGGTGTCAAGCAGGACTCTGAAAAAAAAATAACGAGTGTTGGTCTCTTTTCCACATTCCGCCACCCCCTTGGTCTCTTCAAATTGAAGACTCTCGAAATCAAGGCAGATTTTGCGGTATCCACAATGATCTTTCTTCGGTTTCTTTTGATCTGCCTTGTATGCGGCAACAGCCCGGACCATCAAAGCCTCATAAACACGTTTGCACGCATAAGCCTTGTCGACATCGGATTTGGCTCGGCCAGCCATAGGTAGAAGAGAGGGGCACTCAATTAAAAGTTAAGTAAAACATTGGGCCCACTCCGCATATACATACAGAAACCTGCAGCTAGCCTTGCAGCTGCAGGTTGGTGATCTTTCTGAAGCAAATCTGCTGCGTTGAACGAATGAATGTCCACTAAGATTAACAATAAGTGTTTATAGACCCTCTGCGTACATGAATACATGGATCAAGATTCAATAAACACGAGTAGGTGAAGCGAGAGCCCATAAACGCGAGTCGATGGCAAGGAGGGTGTGCACGCAGCTTCAAGTTTCACACGTGGGTGCGGGTTCTTCATCAAGATCCAGTTATGATACAGTGTGATGTGCTCATTATGGTGAAAAAACTGTGGCATTACCCATGCTGGTCACTAAATACATGAGTGGTATAGTCAGGTACAGCATTTTTACGGTGAGGCCCTCTGTATAAAATTGAAAACATCCAAAATCCATGATCTACCTAGCTTGCTCGGCAGTTTCAATACGTAAAAGTGTTTTTTTCATCGAGAATTTTTGATGGTCGATTCCGCAGGCATTATATCCGAAGATTGGAAAAAATTTGAGCAGAGTACCTCCTTTCATTCCGCCAGGAGATGCAAAATACATCCCAAGTGTTTTACTGATTGATTATGTGACATTGTCACGTGGATGACTGTAGTGTTTAACGTTTAATTTCTGCTTATGTGTTCGGCTATCTGTCGTGATATTGACTACCTTACATCCTTATTGCAGGCATACATACTTTTCAGAGGTCCGTCTATTCGAGTGCCAAGAAAATTCGCACCTACCCATTCTAATTCATCATTCTTAAACTTCTTGCTCAGACACATCTTCCCAGCCAAGGTCATCATCGCCCTTCTCATCGTCGCTCGCCTCGTCCTCCACCTCCATATCATTCCGTCGCAGTCGTCCGCCCTCCTTCCTTCCCGCTGTGCTGGGCGTTGCGCCTGCGACAGTGCCCGGTTCCTCCTCGACGATGATAGTAGGCATATACATCCCCTCTCCGTCACTCTTGTCATCCTTGTCGTCGTTCCCGATGGTCATATTGGCGGTGAAGGACGAGGGACGTTTGGGATTCTTCTTAAGGAGGATGGCAGTTGGGCACAGATTCCGCGGTTGTTTCACCGGCAGCAGTAGACGTGTCTCGTGATTTGTTATTGCCTTTTCGTCGCTAAAAACGAAAGTACCTGACAAAAAAGAACATACGCAAAGAAGAGAATGAATGAAAAGTTTTGGCTTGATCATGGTACGAACCTTCCAGCTCTTGGTCGGTGTCGCCGCTTCCTGTTGATCGCCCTTTGCTGGGAAACAGAAAGAACCAGTCAGCAAAACGGACAACGTTCAAGACAAAGGGGCTTATCAATGACATCCGGAGAAAGACTCACCTGCAAGCGCCTTGAGGTATTTCTGATTCAGCTAAGCTCAGACGCGTTCTTTGATCCTAACTTCATCCTCACTCAATATGAAGCGATCCAATTCAGCTTCGTCAAGACCCAGTAACTCGTCAACGACACCGCCGCTCTTCCGCTTCATCAAGTGCTTCGGTCAATAAAGTGCCTTGAGTGCTTTAAAGGAACGTTGACACTTCTTCTGCCAGCACAGAAGATGCCGTCTCTTCAACCAGCGTAGAGGCCGCTGGTGTCAAGGTCGACGGGGAGGCAGAAAGGGAAGTGGTAGGCTGGAGTAGGGTAGGATCGATATTGCTGTATTCATTGTCCTTCAGCTCCGGATCAGGCTGGAATAGTGGTGCCCCAGTCGTCCCAGGCAGAATGCCCTGATTTAGCAGCGACGTGTCGACAGGAGGCAGCTTACGTTGCACCTGGGTTTCTGTTCTTCATCCGACTCTTCCCTTTTCCGCTTCCCCTTTCTCCTCTTCCTCGCCTTCTTTTTCCCATTCACTGTTGATTCAGTGCAGCCCTGCTCAGTTGCCTCCCTCTCGACCTCCTCCTTCTCCCTTCCCTTCGTGAACACCGGCGGGCCATCTCCTCCTCCAACCACACATTCCTAAAGTCTGCGGGAGTAAGACTCCCGCTTGATGTCGCTTTGAATTCATCCAAATGTTTTTTGAGGGTGGTGTCCGCGATCTTCACCACCTGGACTTCTCCACAAACCGCCGAAAGTTGTTCATACGTGCCGCCAACATAAGGGCGGCTCCACAAATGGCAGCTGGGCGCCAACCGCGCATCATCCAGTCTCGGTCAAGCCGTTGCACGAGGCGCACGGAGTCGGTGGCCACCTTATGTATTTCATTCCCAAACTCGAGCAGGGCGGCAAAGGGGGAGACGTGATGGGA